CTGTTCCTTGCACGATTATGTGCGTGAGGCACTTGCCTAATGCGTAGTCGTCAGGGAGACAAAGGTGTGACCCTTGGTAACGGGCGATTAGTTCTAATTGCCCGCTCTAGCGGGCGATTAGAACTAATCGCCCGCTACAGCGGGCGATACGTGATTAAACGTCCCTGTTGAAACAAAAGAAACCCGGGCAACTATGCTATTACGACAGTTAATTATTACTCAACTTTCGCGGCAGATGGTCGAAAAATAAGAAACGCTAGAGGTTCAAACACCCCAAATACTTTGAAAATATTCCATTGTGCACAACATGTGTGACTTTAAGATCAATTGTTCAGTTATAACACAACAATATAATTTTATTCGCTAGACATATATTTCGAGTCGTTCAAAGTATGTCGTACAAAAATATGAATTTTAGAACTGCTTAACTTGTCAGTCGCTTGAAACGTCCATGCTCGATTACTTATATGTTTATCTTTCTAATGGTATAAAAACATCTTTGGGCAAACGATTTTCATTCACGTGGTAGCTCCTCAAACTTTGGTCAAATTTACTCATTTCTGGCATTTAATTTAATTTGGCGGCGTTCAACAAAATACAAGATGCTAGTGTTTATGTGTGGATTATGAACTCATAAACGAACCTAAAACACATTAAAAACCTTAAATGATGCATTTTGTTAAGGATTCTTACCTGTTCAACTATGACGTCATATTTCCGCCAAAATTCAAGTTTTCTATTTGTGATCCTAGTTTGTGTATTTTGTTCAATTCTTAATACAACATTCAACTTTTCACAATTGAACATTCAACTTTTCACACAATTGAACATTCAACTTTTCACACAATTGAACATTCAACTTTTCACACAATTCAACATTCAACTTTTTTACGCAATTCAACATTCAACTTTTCACAATTGAACATTCAACTTTTCACACAATTCAACATTCAACTTTTTTACGCAATTCAACATTCAACTTTTCACAAAATTAAACATTCAACTTTTTACGCAATTCAACATTCAACTTTTTACGCAATTCAACATTCAACTTTTACGTAATTCAACATTCAACTTTTTACGCAATTCAACATTCAACTTTTTTGAACATCCAACCGCAATCCAATTTAAACGACGTAACGCCGGCTCACATGTGGCTCAACACGAGGTGTAAAACATGGCGGATTTAAGCGAAGTGAAAGAGACACTAGTCAAGTTAGCAAATAGAATTTCCGACTTGCAACAGTCAAGTGAGGCATCTAACAATTCAGGTAAGTGTAGTATATATATATTGATTGTATTGGTTTATTAATATTCCTCCGCTAAAAGTACTGTACTACACCTGAGTGACCTCTACTATTTTGTCAACATAAAATTTTAAATTTAGCTACATAAAATTTGCGGCGCTAGGGTAGAGTGTCGTTTGTATAATCTTATGTTTTTAGGATAAATTGATTCGAACAAAATAAAAAGCAGCGAATAAGTGAATGGAAGGTGTTTTTGTACACGTTTAATCCACAATTTGATCGAAATATATTATAAAGTGTATACAGGTGAATATGATGCTTGTGATGTTACTCTGGGTGTATATCTACACCGGGCAAGCTTGAAAAACATGCCTGACCACGGTGGGAATCGAACCTACGACCTTTGGAATACTAGCCCAATGCTCTGCCAACTGAGCTACGCGGTCTGGTCGGTTCGAGTATGTGATATTTCGGAACAGAATCTAGTTCCTTCGATATCAATGTAATCTAATAATCATGATTTTTTCTGTGTTGGTGTAATGTCTCAGGTGAATATGATGCTTGTGATGTTACTCTGAGTGTATATCTACACCGGGCAGGCTTGATAAATATGCCTGACCACGGTGGGAATCAAACCTACGATCTTTGGAATACTAGCCCAGTGCTCTGCCAACTGAGCTACGCGGTCTGGTCGGTGTCGAATCGAACATCACAAGCATCATATTCACCTGTATAGTAGGCTACACTTTATAATATATTTCGATCAAATTGTGGATTAAACATGTACAAAAACACCTTCCATTCACTTATTTGCTGCTTTTTATTTTGTTCGAATCAATTTATCCTAAAAACATAAGATTATACAAACGACACTCTACCCTAGCGCCGCAAATTTTATGTAGCTAAATTTAAAATTTTATGTTGACAAAATAGTAGAGGTCACTCAGGTGTAGTACAGTACTTTTAGAGGAATATTAATAAACCAATACAATCAATATTACACTAGCTTACCTGAATTGTTAGATGCCTCACTTGACTGTTGCAAGTCGGAAATTCTATTTGCTAACTTGACTAGTGTCTCTTTCACTTCGCTTAAATCCACCATATTTTACACCTCGTGATTGAGCTACATGTGAGCCGGCGTTACGTCGTTTAAATTGGATTGCGGTTGGATGTTCAAAAAAGTTGAATGTTGAATTGCGTAAAAAGTTGAATGTTGAATTACGTAAAAGTTGAATGTTGAATTGCGTAAAAAGTTGAATGTTGAATTTCGTAAAAAGTTGAATGTTTAATTTTGTGAAAAGTTGAATGTTGAACTGCGTAAAAAAGTTGAATGTTCAGTTGTGTGAAAAGTTGAATGTTCAATTGTGAAAAGTTGAATGTTGAATTGCGTAAAAAAGTTGAATGTTGAATTGTGCGAAAAGTTGAATGTTCAATTGTGTGAAAAGTTGAATGTTCAATTGTGAAAAGTTGAATGTTGTATTATGAATTGAACAAAATACACAAACTAGGATCACAAATAGAAAACTTGAATTTTGGCGGAAATATGACGTCATATTAAACTGCTAAAGCCAGATTTTCATGAATGTTTTTCAATATAATATCGATGTGGTTTTTTTGTTTACCGATTCGGCCATGCCTGTCAAGCTGCCGTGTCTGCATGCACAGGAGGCCAAATTTTGTAAATATATTTGACATCCGTTATTCCGTACGATGTTTAATAATTTATTCGGTTTATTTACGTGATATCTTGTTCGTTGTATGGCATATCACACATTTTAATACAATTGTTGTAAATTTCAGGTCACTTTAATATTTCAAAGCGCGCTTCCCATGTTTTGTTTTGATTGTAAATACTGCATATTACTTATTACATTTCTAAATTTAGAATACTGGGTGGGGTATTGATTAAAAGTTGCGAAATTTATAATAATCTGCCATATTTTCATCTTTTTAATGCCCAACTTACAGCATAATCAAATAAAGTTCAGTACTTTAGTGCGATATCGAGGTTTGTTGTTCGTTTAAGACGATAATTGGGGGAATATGTGGTTCAGATAGCCGAGATAAAAAAGAAGTAGTGACAGTCATTCCACTAGTTTCCTGTTCAAGAGATATAGCAAAACATTTGGGATCATTGGCGTCTTCTGGACCGGAAAATGAGGTAGATTTGATCTTGTCTCGAGCTGCGATATTTAAGACACCACAGGATATAAACGACATGATAATATGCCCATTCCATCGCGGGAAACTTGGTTTAGGATAGACAAGAGGAGCTAGTATAAGATGCAGGGTTCCACCTGTTTTGTCTCAACACGGTAACAAAAATAAAAAAATTGGCCCAAGGGTGAAAGAGGGTTGGAAAATATGACTCCCTACATGTGTTACGAAAGACTGGCGCGTTTATTCAGTGTGGCTCAGGTAAAAATTTTTTGTCAGATTTTGATACATAATTAAATAGATATTAGATATGTACACAGTTTAATCGTCACAAAATTTACAGTAAAAGTTCTGAATTACAAAGTAAAGTGATTACATAAAAACTAAATAATTTAAAATTACCACCCAATTTAATAAAATGTAATGAGCAGCACTTTATTCCATAGGAGTATGCAGAAAATGTAGAGATCTTTTGAAGAATCTTCGCAGAGTAGATGTCGATGAACTAGAAAGTCAGTTGAAGCAAACAACATTGGTATGTCAAATAGGATATGGTGAGAGGCAGCCATGTTATCGGCAGATTAATAATTAAAAATCTACATACTGTAACGAACCTCTGTCTCTTATATTAGACACCCGTTTACACGATGTCCGCAAAGTTTGAAAACGAAACGAAATTCTTACTTTTAGTTCACACGATACCGGTATGAAAAAACATGAAAACGTAACGATAACCATAAGAGTTTGAAACCGCAGTGCCGTCTCGGCACCGTGTGAACGCCTAACCCTAAGAGCTGTATTACGGTAAACAAGCAATGAAGCTATGAAGGTAAACTTCAAGTAAGAAAAAAACTCGAAACAGTCATGGCACCAAATCGGAATGAAACTCTACGGGATAATTTTCTGCCGGCAGAGTTTCGTACCGGCATGGTGTGAACGAGCCGGATGCAGATGGCACCAACGGACGGACGGACGACGGACGAATAGGTGCATAGACGACCGATGAGTCTATCGAAGAATAAGAGAAATAACGGTATCTCACAATTTTTAGGATGATGATGATGATGAAGTAATGTTCAAGACACCCATGCACAAAACTATCCCAGTTACTCAAACACCTCTTGATGTAATGGTTTTTTCTCCCTCAGCAGTTTCTGAACTCTCACAGATGAAAGACCCTAACATAACGCCTCGAGAAAGGCTGAATGTGTTTCTCGCTTCTAGAGATGTAAGCCCCATAAGGACAGCGATGAACACTTCATGGCATGCAGCGGCAGATCGTACAAAAAGACACTATTTACGTAAAGCTTGGCAAGTTATTCACGCAACACTTGAAGAAATCGCACCAGATAATTCTGAAGAGCTATTAAGAGCCGTGCAAGAAGGAAGTATGGGCGGAGAAAGTGACTAGGATTCAACACTTTTGGAAGTCTTGGTCGAATGTTACGATAATGCAAATTGTTGGAGCAGCCGCAGACAGATACTGTCAATCATGGCTGACAAAGTCAGCTTTACAACGCTTCAAAAGTGGATCCCTGCTATATCACGTTATCGGTTTTCAATTGCACGTCACCATCGATTGCTCCATGGAAGAGGATCTGAAGTTCCTCAACGTGACCAACGGCAAACACGAATGAGGGCCTCACCTGAACAGCTGGATCATTTCTTAGCGTTCATAACGAGTTCAAGAGCTATCCAAGATTTACCATTTGGTGAAAAAACTCTAAAACTATCTTCTGGTACTGAAATCAAGATCCCAAATGTAATAAGAACCTCAATCCCAGAACAGATCGTAAAGCAGTATGAGCGCTTTTGCGCAGAAATCGGATACAGCTCCCCTCTAAGTCGAAGCAGCAATCTAAGGATACTGAAAGTGTGCTCAGCATCGATGCGCAAATCGCTTCAAGGGCTCGACTATTTCTCTGCTGATGGGGCGAAGGCCTTTGATGATTTACAAGAAGTTGTCGAGAAGCTTGGAGATCGCTACCAACGAGGAATGTCATGGTCGACAGAAATTTCAAAAAAGCTGAAGCTGGCAAAGCGCTACTTGAAAGGGGATTACAAGGTTAGTGGCTAATCCTCCTAATCAATCAAATCAAATCTTCTGTGATCAAAGTGTATGTTAATCAAAATATTTGGTAGTGTAAGCCCCCATTAAAGAAAGCGATTGCTTTGAAATTTTTTGATCAATGACTTTTTAAAAATTTAATCACAGAAAGCTTGGAAGTGTAAACCGAGCATAGTTAGCAATCCAGCATGCAAATTCGTCCGCCATCATAATAAGCGCCATATTTTTCTTTCAGGTGCACATATCGTCTAGTTCAAGGATTCCTGATCATTGTCGGCCCTATGCCTTAATAAGCCATGCCAATGATCCAGATTATTTGCGGTCCTGTAAGCATAAACATGATCTAATCTGCGACAGATGCAATCTGTTTCCTGCTGCTGTGCACGAAATGGAGTCAGTTTTGGACGAGGATGATATA